TTTTAAACGTCAGACATCCAATTTTATAATTCTTTTGTATATTCATTAATTAAAGCGAATGAATCAGACAAAGATCTATTTCATTTTGGGGAAAAAAAAGATTACCTTAAATAACGGTGATAATCTGAGATTTTTAAACGATAAGTTATAGCTAGACTTTAAAATATCTTTAAAAAGTTTGGAGGCGCCGGGTATCGATCCCGGTACCTCTCGCATGCTAAGCGAGCGCTCTACCATCTGAGCTACGCCCCCTTCCACCATGTAGCGTCAGATATCGAAATAAAACCGATTTTCTTTTAAAAGTAACAAAAGGAAAATTAGGTGATGTTTTTAAAATTCATGGAGTACTGTTGATTTATACAGCAAATCAAAATTTTGAATATCATTATGTATATGACATATTGAAAAAAATTTAAAATTATTATACTGTATTAAACTTCAGTTTTTCCTATGAAGTGTGATAAATGTATTAATTATACAAAAATATGATCCAGAATATACAGGTTATTACGTATTATGTATTACGTGTGATATAAATAATGCTGCTTTGGGGAACATTATTTCCTAATTCAGTAAGACAGGAAAAGTCGGAACATAGGGGAAAAAGTAATAAATTTTTAGTATATTTTTCTATTAACGTAATATATTATTTATTTTTTATATTATTAAATGTGTTATTTGTTATTCAAATATGTTATATTGTTTGCTATAGTAAAAATAGTAAACAGAAGTGTTAGTTCATTCCACAAACGAAAAACTGTCTTCAAAAATTGTAAAAATGTTACACTAATCCAAAAATTTTGCGTTAAAAAAGGATTCGAATATTTATTGAATAATTAGCAACACCAGTTTATGTTAAATTTTATCTTGATAATTCTCTTTAAAGTACTGGTCGTTTGTATAATCTTAAAAAAAAAAATTATAAAAAGGGAAAGGATGGAAAATGTATTAAAAAACGAAACTGAGGGGGCACCCGGGTTTGAACCGGGGACCTCTCGATCTGCAGTCGAATGCTCTACCACTGAGCTATACCCCCACACGTCCTATTTGCTATTAAACTAGTACTGTACAAAATACATCTAGAAATCTGCTGTTGTTGCATATGAAAGATGCGATTTTTAAAACGTAAGAAAATATTATATTATCTATTCATATATGGCATAGTAGCTGTTATTTGAATTTCAAATACCTGTCTGCGTCATTTAAACGATCATTTCTTTCTTTTCATCTAAATCTAGTTTCTTGACAAGCCAAGAATTAAATTATTAATTAAAAATTCAAATTAATTAAAAATTCAAATTAATTAAATTCAAAATTTCAATTATTAATGTACAATTGTATTAATATTTGAAATTTTTTAAGTTACTGAAAAAATATATGACCACGCTTTGGAATTCAGTTAATTTAACAACTTCACATCTCTTTAATTATCAATTATAGACTTTTCCCTCAAATGAATTTTTTTTTCATACCCATGCACCTTGCATGTAAAGTAAAGTTAGCAACACCAGTTTATGTTAAACTGGTGTAAAGTATAATAATACCAAAATAAAAAAAAAAGTTTTGTTCTGTAAAGTATAATAATACCAAAATGAAATAAACTAAATCCTTTAAGAAGCTCTGATCGTACAAATATAACAAAATAATATAAATTTCTATAACAAAATATTTCCCTTCGTCGCGGTCTAGTTCACGATGAGCTATCAAAAGCTGAACAGTTCTAGACAGAAAAACAAATTTTAATGAATTCCATAATTAAATATTACGGTTCAATTGTAACTGCGCATTCGTCGAACTAAGAACAGTAGTGTTAAGAAGCATTTCTACCGAGTAATTACGGTCTTAAATAAGTAAAACAATTACGTAATTAATAAAACAATTTTTTTTTTTTTTTTTTTTTTTTTTTTTTTTTTTTTTGTTTCTTGAAATAATATGAAGCAGATCTGATTTTATGAATAAAATTACAATGAAAATTACTTTTTACCTTCGTTACATGATATATTTTCTACTTCCTTTTACATATACATACACACACACCCACACCCTTACCCGGCGTTTATTTTTTCAATCGTCGGTCGTAATCATGTAGTTCCAATTACAGAAGTGCTTTTAAATGACGAAAATATTCAAATAGTGGGCAATGTCAAAAAAAATTTTAATTTTGGACAATTAACGAAATCTAACTTCTAATGCGGTAACCTGGTTCCTATAGTTAAGAAAGTTTTAGACTTGTTATGAGAAATTATAAAAAGTTTGACCATTCGACAACAGTTGGCCGGGATTTTTAACTTCAAAATTTTTAGTTTTTGATGGATATACTAATTTTATCGTAATACGAATTTCCACACTAATTATCGCGAATTTTAAGAGACTTTCTGAGATTCCGCAAACATCTGATAAATTCTTGAATTTCAGACTAATCCAAATTTTCAAAAATTATCTTAATTTTATGAGGTTTTTTTTTAACAATATTTAAATAATTTTAATATGTGCGAAGGTACTTTTTACAACTTCAAAAACCGTTACGAAACCATGATTGTATTAGAGAAGGAAGTACATGCATGAAGGAAATAATAATAATTAAATATAAATTTAAATCTCATGCAACAGTGTGATAATATTGCTAGAATAAAGATTGGATTATATTGGAAATATTTAATTATGGCAAGGTACTCTAGGGGCATGTGGAGGGATTTATTTTTGTGAAGGACTGTCTAAGGATTGGATTATTTAGATTATAACAAAGAACATTAGGACAGTCTGACTAAAAAGAGGACTGCCTTCGTGGAGAACTCCTCAAAGAAAACTGTTTCGTATCTACATTACATGTGATTCTCGTGCATCCAGCCCGTTCGTCTGGATTTGAACGCGGGTCAAACTAATAGCATTCAGCGATTTTACCGCTTCGTTTCGGTTTCTAAGTTACACATAAAGAAGAACCACGTAAATTTCATGTTGCTCAAAAATTTTATGCCTTCGTTGCATCTTCATGTCCCCGGAAAGAGAACAGGGGTGAATTATAAATGCACTTTGATTTTAACTAGTCTGGTATTGCTAGTATTTAGCTCGTTTAATGTACGTAATTATCAGTTTAAAAGTAATTAAAAGTACTGTAATCCCTATCTAAGATGACCATTCAACGTTCCCAGATGATTCTATCTTGTAGAAAAAGCTATCTTCGCTAAGTTATGTTCTACACGGTTATGTCTGCATGTTCTCAGAAATACTTTTGCAGTGGTCGCCATAAATGGGATCATTAATATTATATGTCTGAAAAGGTAAATATTATATGTGTGAACTGGATTATAATGAACCTCTCAAGGCGTCCTCCGTAAGATGACCATGTGTAACAGCGATTTCCGTTTATGAGAGCATAAATTTAAATTGATATTGAAACATGAAAACTCTAACAGAATTTACCTTCACAGCGGACAAAATCGTATGAGACATCTCGTGATCATCTTAAAGAGGGTTCCTAAGTATCTGGGGATTTCTTATTCTAGTTTTGACGGAAAGAGCCCAACTGGGTTGTACCTGAGGGTCTTGGAACCATCTTCACTAATCTCTAAAGAAGACTTTCATATCGGTTATTTTAGTTTTTTATAATGTGCATATATTAATTAAAGCTTTTCAATTACGAAATTTTTATTTTAACATTCAGGAATTTTTATTTTAATACTGAATAATTTACATAAAATTTACAGAACATAAATCCTAGTTTGAGATTCATAATTTTTTAATAATGAGATATAACGATCAAATATAGATGTCCTTGTAAAATGCATGCATACACATATACATATTAAATTTGATGACTGTGGCATTCAAAAAGCAAATTTCTGTGCTTTCAGATATCATAATGTGTGCAATCAATATGATGTCTAAAAACAGTACAGCATTATAATAAATTATGATTTATGGATGTAAGGACCACATTGCAAAAAGTCGAAATAAGAAAGGCATTTCAAAATCATCTTTAAATTTAAGAAAACATTTTCTTGAAAAATTTATTGCTAAAATTAACCTATAATAGACTATCTGATATTTAGTATTTGCATTCATAATATTTAAAAATTAAATGCTGGAATATATAACCCCACAAAAATATCTAAGTAAATGACATTTCTTTGAATGTTACTTTGTTTGTATATACTTCAGTTTTAAATGTAAAAAATTATGTATATAATTTAGTAAACAATAGATATTAAGTGCAAAAGCGTCTTAATAATTGTATTTAAACTTATATTAAGCGTCTTAATAATTGTATTTAAACTAGAAATAAATTATAATCCACTTCCTCGGAACGAAAAAATTTAATAATATAAAAGTGCTACCTAAAAATTGGTTTCTTGCAAAAAAATTAAATAAAAATTAAGTAAATATTAATTTGCGGTGAATTTAAAAATTGAATAACGATAACTAATTGTAAATATTTCCAACATATTCTTGACAACGGCATTTATTTATAAATACTAGCTTAAGAAAATTTTAATTTCGAGACTGTATTAAATATTCCCTAAAGTAATTTAAAAAATAAGGTAAGAAAGATAAACTTTACTCTATAGGCAGATAAATGCGGTAACGATTGTTATTAGGTGATAGATGGTATAGATAAACGTTTCTTTTGAACATAGTTCCCAGGTTTATTCAAGTATTTATTTTCGGCAAAGTTTCGATGCAATCAAGAAGAAATCAGCATTAAGTCTATGAAGCCACATCGTGACGGCTTGTTGAACGGTTATGAAATGTTTTGTCACCAAAGAGAAGAAAATCGTCAGGTGACAGCTCCTGATTCGTAATAGCGAGCGGTTGGGCCAAAAAAACTTTTCAAGTTTCTATTCATGTCGCCTGTTTCCACCAGATGACGCCACAGTATAGAGCTGTAACATAGATAAGTCTGAAGAGACTTATTTTGCCCAACTCTTGCGATCGCAAGGTAAAACGTTGGAAATGCAGCATTTGCGATTACTTTTGTAGCAACTGTTACTACGTCTTTCACATCTATCACCTAATAACAATCGCAACTCATCCGGAAGGACTGAAGCTTATGTTAAATTGACTAACAGTGATCCTGTGTTGGGTATGTGTTTAAAGATTCGTTAAAGAAATTCCACTAACTGTTATTTGTTCTGTTTTAACTGCATAACAGCAATAACTTCAAAAGCATTCTTCTGTCATAAAATAACGTATTGTTGGATTACACTAGGTGCTTTATGATGTTGTATATTCTATCTTCAGTTGTTTAAGTGTACGTTTTGTTTATAATATTAACATTTTGCTTCAAATGGGTTGCAAAAGAGCTGAGAATTATAATCCTCTAGAAGTTATGACGCTGTTATCATGCATTGAGAACAAGCCAGAGTTGGCTATTAGTAATCTTGGTGGAACTTGCAAGACTTTAGCTGATATCGATAAAGCATGGGATCAAGTAGCCGCTGAAATTAGCAGTTTGCGACTTGGAGTAAAACGTTCTGGATCAGACATAAAAAGAAAGTGGATTGATCTAAAATGTAGAACTAAAAAAAAAGCCGAAGCTATTGAAAAAGAGCCAAACAAAGAAGGCGGGCAAAAGTTGTCAGAGGTTGAGAAAAGGGTGTTATCAGTGCTTCGAAATCTGAAAACACTGGAAAGCAGACTTGAGAGGGAACACGTGGTATCCAATGAAGTAAGTGAAATTTTGCACTGAAACTCTGCTCTTAAAAATAACCGTTTTGAATTTTTAAGATTTACTATTTCTTTTTTAGGTTGATTGTTACAGAGTAATTTTTAGGCTGATTGTTCAGTGTAATTTAATTATTAAATTTGAGAAAGTATTTTAAATTTGACATAGTAATTACTGTTTTTTATTTAAGAAATTTTAAACTTTGCAAATTTTCTGTAATAAGATTCAGCTAACCATATAAATTTCATTTTGTGGTGCAACTGGTATTTGCCAAGTTTGGCTATCTTTTCAATGCTTAAATTAAGAGCAATGCAATGTAAGTTACGTAAGAATAGAAGTGAAGATAGTTTTCTTAAATATGACATTTACGAGAGCTATCTGCATAATGAACAGCAGTGAGAATTATAGCTATTAATTTGCAGTACTGTTTTTCTAATTCTTTTCTTCTAGATAAATTTTAGAACAATCTTCTTAGTATAATAATTTAAATTTATTTAAAATTTATACGTCAGTGTGTTCCAAATGCATATAATAATGATTATAATAGATTTCATGCAAAGTTTTTTTTAATCTAACTATTAATTTCTGAAAACATTTACATGATTACTTTTTAATTACCAAAAAAAAATTTCAACAACACACTTTGCTACCGAATAATCTTTTGCCCGCCAGTGAGCTAAATTAAATTTTCCAGTCTAGTTCAGACATCGTGACTATTATTGATATAATTTATAAAGAAATATAATTGGCATGCTTTATAATTATTTAATTTATGAATTATTATAATACTCTTGTTAGATATTCTTTATTTGTTCTTGTGATATGTAATTCTATTTCTTTATTTTTATTTTCGTCTTGGCTACAAATGGCTTCGAAAAGTAAAATTGTAACCCTGTAGTTCCTCGGGGGAAGAAAGTTTGATTCGCCCAGTTGGAGTATTCCCAGACAGGGGGGAGGGGAGGAAGAAAGTTTGATTCGCGCAGTTGGAGTGCACCCAGTAAAATACGGCGAAATTTATTTTAATCTCTCAACATAAGTTAGTAAATAGTTAAAATAAATTAGATTAATTTTTTTTAAATATATAATTTAGTACAAGCAAATAAAATTTAAAAAACAAAATTAAAAAGAATTAAGTAAATAAGTAAGGCCCGATAGCTTTTAAAAAATATGGATTAACTAAAATTCTGAAATGATCAAAGTTAATTTTTATAGTATATTTTGGTTATTTCTTATTTGTGTATTAATATTTATTTATTTATTTATCCTTTCTATATTTTGTTGTATAGCGTAGGCAATTTTTCAAACTTTATAGGTGCATTATTACATTTCATAATTACTTTTTTTGTTAAAAAAATTCCCATTGTAAAGTAAAATTATAACAAAACAAATTTAAACATAACATTACGTTTTTGAGAAAAGCATATTATTGCAAATGTACTTTCTCCAATAAAGGATCATTTTTAAAATAAAAAAGGGGGTTGTTTGAAGGGTAGAAGAAGGTCTACATAAAATTGTAGGGCTATAATTGGGAAAGGTGTCTGCTGACCCGGCAGATTTACTGGTTAAAAATGCTTTATTCGTATGTCATTTGGTAAGCTATCTGTAGCATGTTTGCTGTCTGCTCTTTGCGATACGTTGCTTAGTATTGCGGTGCTTATAGCACAACAGAACTTTAAAAAAAAAAAAAAAAAAATGAGAATTTAAAATTTTATGGAGGGGGAGGGAGTTTTTACCTACCTTTTTATTTTAGCAACCGTTGGTCATACACATATAGAAAATGTTTCAAAAATTGTAAGTATTCATATTTCAGCATTTTTCTTAATTAAAAGTAACTTTAAAAAAAATCACTTTTGTAAATTTACGAAACTTAACTTTTTATGCGTTCGCCTGCATTTAGGAAGATCTATACTCAGTTTAAAAATTAAGGCACAAAATATATTCTACTCCTGTAAGAAAAATAATTGATCGACCGATATATTTCAAGGGCCGTACAGAAAATGAAGAGCAAATTGTTTGAAATTGTACCCAACTGAAAATAAAATATCAGTTTAGAAAAAGCTGTCTTCTGTTGATTAACTAAGTGACGAGCATTTCTTTCCAAATACTTGAAAAGTATTAATCAGATTTTTTTTCGAAAAGGAGGTTTTATTCACCGAATCTTACAGAATTAGTATGCTAGAAAACACTGCAAAGCTTCAGTATTGGCACGTAGCCAATTTGTAACAGTATTCGCATGATTAAGAAACCAAGAATATTTTAGTTAATTGAATTTTATGTATGATTCCCGATAGAGCTTTAGCCCAGAAACGGCATTTTGCGTTGGTTCTCTATAAACGGCCTATCACTTTTTAAATTGTTGCCACCAAATATTATCGCCCTGTATAATATTTAAAGAAATTAAATAATGAAGAATCTGCGTGAATGTGTGTACGTTTCACGCATTGTGAAAAAACGACGGTACCGAGAGCCATCCAATTTTGAATAACGTAATCATCCACTCGAACACGGGTACATGGAGGCCCGAATTTTGAATTTCGAATTTGTTTTATTATCTATTTCACATTTTGAAAAACTGAAACGAATTTTTGATTAACAAACTCAATGATTTCAAAGCGGAGGGAAAGCCTTTTTTATCTCCAGCGCGCGAGACTGTGTATCGGAAATTCTAAAGATATGCTGTTTTTCAATATTTTATGATATTGCTGTTGAATTGAATTTCACGTGGTTTGAGTGATGAACAATATTTAACAAATAAAGGTAACACACAAAACGTTAAAAAACGCACCTTTGGGCGTGATGTAATATCTGAACATACTAAGAACGTATTTTTTAGCGTTCGGAAATAACAAACGTGTGTGAAAATTGAAAAATCTTTCGTCATCTATTGTAACAAAGTTATAAATTAAAAACAAAAAATTCTGAAAACTTTCAGATGTTGTATTACGTCCGAAGGGACTTTTTTTTAACGTTTTGTATGTTACCTTTCATTCCTTAAATATAATACAGGGCGATAGTATTTTATGGCAACAATTTAAAAAGTTATACGCCGTTTATAATGAACAATCGACGCAAAATGCCGTTTCAAGACCAGAATAACCCTTCTGAGCTAATAATATAGTTAATTCTAGTAATATAGTAATAATAATGTAAATATAATGATATAGTAATACAAGTAAATAAAAAATGAATATCATTGAATGGCATTTAAAGAGCAAAAAAAAGAACCTCGAATTATTCTTATTCGTTTAACAATAAATGACATGAAATATCAAATTTTGAAATTAAATATCTCGGTCAATTTTTGTCGTACCAGAGCCAACCCTTTGTGTTTTAATTTTTTAATGCGTGTATATTTTTCTGAATGTAAGTATAGGTGTAGAGCATGAGGTCATTTTGAAGCAGAAGAGATGAGAAATAAGCAACGCCCTCGCCGGGACTCGAACCACGGACCTCTCGAATACGCGCCGAGCGTGGTGACCATTACACCACGAAAGCATGCTAAGATAGCGTGAGAAATAACTTGTCTAGGGATCATGGGGATTGTATAAAATGTTAAATATCGTAATTTTTATAAAATATTTTTTTTTAATTTGAAAATACTAAAATATAAATAGTTTCAACATTTAAAATATTATTATAATTGGATCAACGAAAAAAAAAGCCGAAATGCGAAAATAAAGGCCGGGTGAGGACTTTATTTGACGCTATGCATATTTAAGATAAGTAACTGAAATAAAATTATGCTGTTTCTTATTACTTCCTCGTACGAAGTATAGTTAATGATCAAAAATTCCGCTTATGAGATATCAACGGAAATATCCATTTTGACCGTCCCCGAATCCGTAATGTTTTTGCCTGACATCTCTACGTACGGACCCAATACAGGACTCTTCTAAAACGTGTTGTAAATGGATGTTTTTCGTGCCATCTGTACGTTATATTTCGCATAAGCGGTAGAACATTAAAATTTTGTATATGGGACTGCTGTAACATCTCTTTTTTATTGCAATCGCAAGTGCCAAAAGTATACGAGGATTCATAATAAACTTCCCTGTTATATGAACCACTAGCAGCCTATCCGCCTAACCAATCGAAATTAATTTTCTGATATTAGTAATGCATAAATAAATAAAAGAACACTTTATTACAAGCCCACTCCCCAAAATATCTGAAAGCTTTCAGATTTCATATTACGCCCAAAGGGGCATTTTTTAAACCTTTTCTGTGTTATCTTTATTTATTAAATGCCATGTTCTTCTCACTTGAACCGTAAAATTCAATTCAACAGCAATATCACAAAATAATTTCTAAACGTATCCGTAGAATTTCTGATACACAGTCTCGCGCATTGGCGATAAAATTGTGTATGTTTTTTGGTTTTTCTTTTTTTCGTGCAGTGTTGCCATTGTTAAGTTTGAAATCGTTGAGTTTCTTAATCAAAAATCCATAAATGCTTTACAAAATATGAAATAGATAATAAATCAAATCAAATTCCAAATTCAAATTTGGACTTCCAGATGCCCATATTCGCGTGGAGACGTACATTATTCAAAATTCGATGGCTCTAGGTATCGTTGTTTTATCTCAGCGCGAAAAACATACATTCATTTATGCAAAGTCTTCTTTATTTAATTTCTTTAAATATAATACAGGGCGATAATATTGGGTGGCAACAATTTAAAAAGTGATTCGCCATTTATAGTGAATCAACGCAAAATGCTAAAACGAAATTAATAGCCCTTCGGGGCTATAAACGCCCTTAGGGCTAAAAAGACATGTTACGGTTACAGTGAAAAAATTTTGAAATTTTTGAATGGCAACATCCAACTCTTTCCTGCACAAATAGATCAGCGCATTGAAAAAACATAAATGGCGTTGGAACCACACATATATTATGAAAATTGTCGGTGTAAAACATTTGCAAAGAGCATTGTAAAGCACCCAACGACAATACAAGAGAGGAGATGGAGGGGAAAAAATTAATGGAATTATAAGCTTTCAGCGTGATTTTCATGGAGTTGTCGTGCGTATCTTAGATTTCAGATAACCCCAGAATCGGAAATCCATCGAAATGTGGTCTGGGGTTTCGCTGAGGCCACAAAACTGCAGTGTTACGGTAGAAGACTCTTTTATCTGTTACAGCACTGGCCGAATACATCTGGAGAAGCACCATTTGCCATCTATACAATGTCATTAACAATATTTCACTCCTGCAGTTTTGGAATTGCATAATTCTGCAACATTGTTGGATGATACCAAGCACTTGTGATGGAACACGTTTTCATAAATATGGAAGTGACCTCTTTGAAGGAGTACGGCCGAGAACGAATGTGCTTACGATGTCGCACAACATAATCACTTTAGTTTCGTGTAAAGGCCCGTCCACACGAGTACGCTCGAAACGTAGCTGACGAACGCGCTTTTACGTTACCAGCGTAAAAGCGTTCAAACGAGTACGCTTGCGAAAAGTGCGTTTAACCAATAGAATTATTTTGCACAAAAATCACGTGACGCTGTAATCTAGCGTCAACAGAGCTGTATCTTATTACTTCGCTGTTCTGTATGTTTGTGGCAAGTTGTCCGAATCAGATGATTTTTTTTTTTTTTTACAGCTGAACCTTTACTATTATGTGCAATTATTAAGCAGAGGCAAACCGCAAAAAATGGCAAGAATGGTCCGAAAGATTTATTTAGAGCGATCTGTTCAAAGAGATTTTTTTTTTTTTTTTTTTTTTTTTTTTACTGCCTTGTTTGCGAAAGGAATACTGGAATTATTAAATCTACTATTAGCTCACACTCTCCCTACCTTGTTCAAATTTTCAGTACGTAAAATGCTTTTTATATTCATCCCTCAAGTTCAAATACAATTTTTTAACTTCAGTGAATGACACTTGATGTTAATACGCTTTTTCACTATTAAAATTTTTTAATTTTAATTTAAAAAATTAGGTTGATTTTTATTTATTTATTTTTTTTTTTTAAACTTTTCTTGTGGACCTAAGTAGGAATGACTTAATTTTTGGGGGGAGGGGGTATTCTTGTTTTTTAATTCCTTCAGGATGAGTATCGACCACTTTGACAGACTTGCAGATTCTATATCGTATGAAAATTAGGATTTATAAAATTGGTTTGGAATACAGTATATAAAGAGAATTAAATTACTTAATTCTCTTTATATACACCATCCATCATATAATAACCAACTTCATATTTTTTTAACTCGCCTCCCTTGGTCTTTTGTTTTTCTTTTTATTTATTTTTGAATTTAAATGAGGTTCAAACTTTGGACAGTTTGAGAAATTATGTGCATGATAAAAGATGCAATAAAGTAAAAATAAAGAGAGAATTTATAGATGATATATGATAAAGAGATGCAGATATATTTTTACATAAGGATTTCTATTTGCACTGCACATTTTAAACTAAATTAAAAACATAATAATAAATAAAATAAGAAATGAAAACAATAATAATAGGTAAAATAAGAATATAATGATTCATGATTAAATATAGAAAACGTTTCAAAATAAGAAAAGCTAACTGAATTATACCGTCTACGAGTGAGGTTCGAACTTGCCACTTTACCATCCTCCGCTACCAAACAGCGCGCTGACCACTCAGCTATCTGTGAAACAGTGTTCATAAAAATAATGTAACAAGTAGAAGTCGCTGCAAGGTAATTTAATTAAACTTCAAAATGATTGCTGTATGACAAGTTGTAACTTTCCTCCCAAATTCGTATTGTATTTTATTGAATACTCTTTCACAGTCAACTGCTTTATTTTAGAAGTTATATATAGCTGAAGTTAGTTTTTGGTGTATTTAATATTGGGATATTTATAGAGCTTTTATTACACATGATATAGCCAATATTTTAATAAAAATTAAGGAGAATTTTGTAAGGCAGAAGCTTTGATTTCGTAGAAACTGTAATTTATTTAGGTTCCTATTACTTACGGGGTTATAAATAGGTGAAGCATATGGATATAGTGGTCGGATCATTGCTTTATAAGTATACAGTTTTCCCCTTTAATGTGAATTTTAAATGTATACTAATATGTACGGTTTGAGAAATCTGAAGATGGCGTGAACAATGCTGATTATTTTATTGCTGTATACAGTTGTATTTCTAAGCAAAAACTCATCTCTGTGTGGCTCTGACGCCATATTGAAACGGGTAAGCAAGAAGGTTTTCTGATTATGACATGTGATAAGAATTCGGTCGGCTATTGGCTATACGCGCTCGTCGCGGGCGAAAAAGCTGAACAGGAGCGTACTCAGTTTTACGTCTTCTGCGTCCTGCGAATTTACGCCGGCGTCAAAAAAGTTACGTCAACTACGTCGGGAGCGTCCTAGTGTGGACGGGCCAAAGGCGATAGTGCCACATCGGGAGGATCTTTGTCAGCCCTGTAAACGAGTGCTTCTCATCTGTCTGTTGTCATTGGTCCTTTACAGTCCTCTTCTTTGCAAATGTTTTATGCCGGCAATTCTCGTCACACATGTATCATTTCAATGCCATTTATGGTTTGTCAATGAGCTGATCAGTTTGCGCAAGAAAAAAAAGGGATGTTGCCATTCAAAAACTTCGAAATTTTTTCACTTTTTTTTCAGCCGTACTCATGAGAGCTATGTTGTTTTAAATCGTCACAATCTTGAATGCACAAACTTCAAATAACAATATCTGAAATTTTATTTCGATTGGTTGAAGAGAAGGGTTCATATATCAGGGAAGTTATTTTATGACCACCCTGTATTTTATTATTACATTATTTCTTTTTCAGTTGTCCGCAGACAGTCATATAAACGGTCCTTTATTGTTTGTTTAATAATATAGTTATAGTGTGTAAACTTTTCTTAATCTGATTTATTTTTATGTACATAGATAACTCCCGTTATTCCAAATTCGACAAAGGAAGGGACTGTAATTTATCTGGCGAGTACTGAATCAGGTAAACGAACTTTTTTTTCCGTTATCTCTCTCGTATGTAATTTGTAATTATGTGAACTATTTGTTTATTTAGACCTGCATAACTGTGATCTATTATTATTGAGATCAATAACAGTTACGCAAAACCTTCCAGATATTCGTTTGAAACTCATTTTCTTTCACCACAGAGTCAAAAATATAGATAATATATTTAGCATATAGTCACGTAATGCATTTTAGTGAAAATAGGATGAAAACTTTCATAACAACCAATTCTGAAAGTGAGGTTATTTCTGAGCCCACTTTAACTTTTTAGCCGTAGTTTCTGAAAAAAGTTTTAATTTTCGCATATTTTCACCTTTTTGGACTGTACACTGGTGTGCAAAATTTAAGGACTAGCTGTTCTTTTCGAATGTAAAATCGTGAAGAAGGGTTCCCCATCAGCCCAAATCAAACTTAATATCTCTAAAATCCGAAAATAGGTGACAAGTGAACAAAACCTTCAAATAAGGGATCAGAACGATAAAAAGACACTTTATTGAAAAGAAAGCTCCCAGTACAACTGGAGAGAAAGCAGAAACGTCCATGTGACGTGCACCTGGCAAGGAAAATCCAGTCTTTAGAAGATGATGTGATCCCCCCGACTGCGATGCAGAAATCATAACTTCTGTCTATGCTGAGGATTAGGTTGTGAAAGAGCTGTTGAAGCATCATCAGCCTTTCTTCTTCTAACGCCAATTTCAGCTGCGGAATCGTGGCTGGCGTCTGGTCATGTGCTGCCAAATGTCTAAGGAGAACATCCCGCGCGTTTTCTATGCGATTTAGTTCCGGAGTCCTTGCAGGTGTTGATTATTTGCAATCTTAAGAGCTCTGCGACAGCATCTATACGATGAGGTGTAGCGATGTCATCCATGAAGAGGATATCCAGACCCATAGCACTTCCAAACAGACGCACACCTGGCAAGAGAGCGGGTAACAGTGAGAGAAACTCCTTTTGAAATGTGAAGGTCAGTATAGCTACCAACCAATACCATCTCAAAGGAGAACTCCAGCAAACCTTAAATGGTCTCCTCTTGCCAGATGTGAGTACGCCAAGAATAGCTTGATTGACTAAATTGGCTCTCATCCATAAAAAGCACTCGACTCCACTCCTGACTCCAATCCTTGTGTTCCCCACACCACAGAAACCGGCGTTTCCGATGAGGAGGCGTTAATGGCAGCCAGTATAATGGTCTTGAGTGTATAGGGTATTTGTGCAGGTGCTGGGGTACGTTAAAACTTGATATCGGACTTTGAGTAGTCTCTTGCATGTGGCTTGCGATATCTCCGGCTGTTTGGCGCCTCTGTCTTCTCGCCAGTATAGCACCAGTCGTCCACAACCGTTGTTGCTCGTAGAAGACCACTACTGAACGCCCTAATAGCTGTTCCTATCTTTTGAAATGCTGTGCAAGTTCGTGAAACGACGTTGTGAGCTATCTCGAACTCCTCCGTTACACTTGTTACATTTCCACCTTTTTCTGTTTTCTCAGTTTTCCAATGACGCGACCTCAGATAAAGTCAGTCTAATGATATCTCCGGGATAGCCTGTTGGCTATATCGCACGCTATAAGCAACTCGACTTCACTGAATTTCTGAACGCCCACCACCCTTATGTCCCCCTTTTCCGATACTCCTTCCGCTAAGTAATGTGCCATATATGCACATGCCGTACTGTACCGGACCCAAGTCTAGCTAATAATTGTCTTTCCCATCCGTTCTACTGCCTTGTTCGCTTTTACTGTTAATTTCTCAGACTCGTCCGTAATTTTTGCATACCTGTGTACATAATTTTTTCCTCTGAGGGCTATGGTAAATTGTACCGCCGGCATTATTTTTATTTTTATTCAATGTATTCGTTTTAACATTATTATTTCGTCAATTTTTCCCTTGCATATATTACTTGAAGTGTTATTTTATGCAGATTCTTCGTTAAGCTACCCAAATCTGGAAGTTGCTCTGACATTAAGGTTTCTGTTCTTAGAATTCTTCTTCTGTTACTTACATTCTAGCTTACTGGTGTAAGCTATTGCTGATGTGTTCAATCTTTCGAAATCCAGATCTTTTGTTCTACCCGTTCTCTTCCATTCCTCTGCTGTCCCGCTTAGAAACTCCGTCAAGACTTAACCTTGCGTGGCCCTGGGCTTTCACAAGGTAATTGAGCCGGGCACGTCGCACACTGCTCCACGTGTCCGGTTCAATTGCCGGTAGATATTGTGATGTTAATATTACTATTGTTGGTTTCTCTTAAAAGAATAATATTGTGACAATAGTTTTATCATGACTACCTTTCATTTGTTATGCTGTTACTGTAACTGCATTCTTTAGAAATTAAATTACATAATTCCCTATCGATTTTCGAATGTTAGAATTTGTTTGAAAAAGAGAAAAAAATCCGAAGTACAGAAAGTCTTCCTAGACCTACTAAATCACTGTCATGATCGTTTATTCTTCTTTCTGTGATCTTTAGTGAGGGGCCTCGGCTTTAAGGGTAAAGCATTCATGGCCTTAGTTCTTAATTATGAACATTCGAAGCGACAAGGGCAATGGATTAGGGTTCGATCTCTATCCATAATGAAGTGAGAACGGCCAATGCTTGTGGGTAAGGGGCGAAGCCGACAGAGCTTTGGGCAAAAGTGTGGAGCCCTCAAAATTCCTTCAAATGGCAATGTGCCAGGTAGGTGTCTTTATTTTATACCCAAAAAACGCATGACTTGCGATTTCGGAAACAAAATGAAAAAAATACCTAATTCAGAAGCATATTAAAATTACATATGCAGCACAGTTTACCTTCCATATCAGAGATGAATTTTAGAAGCCGGGTCTTGGAAGTTTCTTAAAAATCACGGTAGGAAAAAAAATCTATTCTTCATTGTTAGCGGCAGTAATTCAGTGATGTTCAGTTTAAATATAAGACATTTCATGAATTTCAATTAGTGTGGTGAAGAAGTTAGCAAATTCAATTTTAGAAGTTCAAGTTTGTTAGGAACTTCAAATTAAATTTCTGTTCGAAATTAATGGAAAAATTTTAGACCCTTTTAAAACATTTTTTCCTTGTGTAATTTTGGTTCTGTTTATTTATTTATTTAGTAGAACAGAGAGGAAAGAATAGATGAATTAATTATTTCAAATAATAGGTATTTTATCTGATAAATGTTGGAATAGCTTGTCATTACTAAGTTATCAGGATTTCAAATTCCCGAATTAAAAAATATATAACGAAAATTACTGCTTTCCCGTTGTTAGAAAACGAAAACTGGAATATTTTATGTACTTATGCAAATTATTTAGATATATCCAATAATAATTGTTTTAATTAATTTACTTTAACCCTTTGATGAGCACAATATTATTTTATAATGTTTTAACTAAAAAAACTCTAGAAACTCTTGCCTATTGATCTGTGTGTGGCAGTCGCACTGTGAAACCAGCGCACGTCTAGGACTTTGAAACTTACTGAGGTAGTATGGGGGGAAACCTTCTTCCCTGCGCATTTCCAATAAATGACGAAATCTACGAATTTAAAATGTATTTAAGAATTGCATTATATGTAATTTTTTTACTTTTGTGCAAAACATGTTTTGTCTTTTTGGTACATGCATAGACCCACACTGCACGTTTCGCACATTTATCTTGTTCTATGAGGGTTTCTTCCTTAAAGTTGTTACAAATGTACACCACCGGGATTTGAATTTTACTGACGTATGTCCTGCATTCTTTAGTCTCATTTCGTCTGGCATTTGAAATTTGTGGTCTTTTATGTTAATGGAAGGGGAGGTTTGGTGTTTTCGCCTTTGATACGGATCTTTCGTTCCCCATTCGTAATTATTCTATTCATATTTCGGCCCAAAATATTTATAAAATATTTTAAATTTAAATAAAACTTTTACGCGATTTCTATTTTTAATTATAGCAAAGTATATTTACATTATATTTGAACAACGTAAAATAATTTCTAACTGAAATTGAGAAAGCAGAACTGTTAGCTATGCATCTGGAATCTAAATTTCGCACAAACAACGTTCATGACACAACAACAGAAAATCTAGTTCATAGCTTTCACTCCAACTTCCCAACAAATCCAACCACTGACAAAATCATTCCAGCCTTACCGTCAGAAGGCCATGCATACATCAAAAGAATCAAGAAAAAGAAAAGTCTTGCCATAGATTCCATCACCAATTGTGTGATAAAAAAGTTCACAGTCAAGACCATTTTCACTATTACTAGAATTTGCAACCTTATTCTGAAATGGCAATACTTTCCTCAACTTTGGAAGATTGCAAAGATCATTCCGATCCTCAAGCCCGGAAAACCTCTTTCATCAGTAAAATCTGTGAAGCTATCCTACTCAAGAGAATCAACAACTGCATAGAAAGCAGTAACATCATCAGACCGCACCAGTTTGTTTTCATGAAGCAGCTGTCGATACCTAACCAACTGTACCGAGTAGTAGAAACCATCTCCGAGGGAATAGCAACATGCAAGATCACTGAAGGACTGCTTCTAGACATTGCTAAGGCTTTTGACCGAGTCTGCTAAGGCCCAGCGTGCTGAACCACTACACCACGAAAGCATGCTAGAGAAGTGGGAGAAATACCTTATAAGTTCATCATCATCAAACAAATTACCAGAAAGTGGAAGAACCAGAATACCAGAAAGTGGAAGAAGTTTCACTGAGTGGTATATCCGCAACAATAGAATTCATGAAGAACTGGGTATAGATGCTGACATTATTATAAACTTTCTAAAAGCTTTCATGAAAGATAAAAAACAATTAACAACCCGGCCATTAAGATTTGCAATTATGACTATAATGACCTAGCAAATATGGACAAGCCCATGGCCCAACTAAATGTATATATTATGTAATTATTATTATAATACCTTTACGTCGACGCATAGTATGCTGAAATTTATCTTCTTTAAGAAATTAGCGTAGAATTTAAGCCCATCAGTGGTGGAATGGCTAAAATCGCTTAGCAGAAGTAGTTCAATTGGTTTCCGTTCATAAAATTGATAATGTATATTAGGGGCTTTAACCTTTCAAGCCCAAGCGCCACATCAATAAATTCCTAAAGATCGGCAAGTTACACCTCTGTCGAATAAGTAGTATAGGCAGAAAATTTGTAAAATAGAAAAAGTTTTACAAGATTGCAATTAATTTTAAGGAGAGTGATGAAGTCTCCGATTTCAAATCAAGAAGGTCATCGCGGTACGGTGCTTAATAATAGGGGGACCGGAAAGTAATGTCGCTTTCTTACATTAAAATTCAAACGAATACATTTTTAACAATTTTTATTTTTAATCAATAATATAATCACCCTCGTTATCAACAACCTTTTGCCATCTAATGTGCAGATTTTCAATCCCGGACCGATAAAAATCAATTGGTTTTTGAGTAAAATATCTCGAGAGAACATTTTGGACATCATCCAAATTTTCAAATTTTTGCCGCTAAGAAAATGCTGTAGGGATTCGAATAAATGGAAATGCAATGCTGCGATATCAGCCGAGTATCGTGGGTGAGTATGGCAGTACTCTCCCATCCCAATTCATTAATTTTTTCCAGTGTTCGTCTTGCACAGTGCGGTCTTGCATTGTCGTGTTGCAGAATGACACCTTTTCTGTTGACAATTGATATTTTTCGATTAAAGATTGGTTCACTCCTTCCAATTGTCACAATAAAGGTCTGCATTAACAGTTTGTCCAGATTTCAGCAATTCAAAATGAACAATTCCGCGAATACTCCAGCAAACACCCAGAAGCTCCTTTTCGGGAAGTAAACCCTTTGTAACCCCTATTAAAACTGCCTTTTGAGTTTTGGATTATCATATAGGACTTATTTTTTTGTCTCCACTAAACAAACGATAAAAAAAACGGTTCTGTATGGTGCCCGTTGAAGCAATACTTTGCATTTAATGGATAGGTTGGCTTTGTTCTTTTCGAATAGATTATGGGGGACTCAAACAGCTGTTTTGCTTATTTTTCTATTCTGCTTTAAATGTTCTTGGATGGTCGACCAAAGTTGGTTAAGAGTGTTTGACATGGATTTGCTTCCACTTCTGCCCTTAGCATGTTGTTGTCGACTTGCGCAGAAACGACATAACTTTCCGGTCCCCCTATTATACTATATTGATCGTTAACGTCAGATAAATGTTAAACTTCTGGCAACTTCTCTGAAGGGAAAAATTAAAGGAAAGCACAAATTTTGAGCCAATAGCATTGACAGCTTCCTTTTTAATTTATTGAAAATACTTGACGGGCCACGGATTGGAGACTCTCTATTAAGCGCGTCTGTCGCGTATAGTAGAGGGTCTCCAGAGGCGATGCAGCGTCGACACGGAGTACGATAAACATGCCACAGGATTGGCACTGTACAGCGTTGATACAACATAGTCAACGTGTCGCAGGATAAACACGGTGCATCGTCGACGCGATATAACATCAGATGGTTCAAATTCAGCATGGCATAGAATTAACACGATGATCGACAAGATACTGTGTCGACACCACATAGTACAGTTACAAATAAGTACATAAAAACTGAAACTAAGCATTTGACGAAAGAAGCAGTCACCATAGAAGAAGCAGTCACCATGAGCACTGGGGAAACAATTATCCTATTTTAAATAAAGAGTCATACCAAAAATACAAACAAAACTAACTCATATGCTTTGATTTGTTGAGAAATTCATCTGTAATCGGATTGCCTCTTTTACAATCTGTCCTGACATGGTCATACCTTTTTTTTTATTTATTTTTTTTAATGGTGGAAAATTATTATAGCACATTTATGGTACTACTGAATGTTGTTTATGTAACGACAAGTTTAACAAAATGCATACATGTTCTTGCTCTTATTTAGTTTTATTCGACTTCACCAGAGTTTCTGTGCATAACCTAATTGTTCGAATCTTTTCTTATATATTGTTTATTTCAATAATTTAAACATCGTTTGACTAGAATTATGCTTATCCATGAATATCTGGTGTACTCCTGGTGTTTGATACTGCAACTTTTTATAATGTGTATTGATTTTTAACAAGTATTGTGTTTTTAAAATGTATTAGGTTATGATCTGTCTTTTGTATTTACTATGATAATATGTAACATGTAATTATATTAAACATTATGTAACAATATGTAATATGTTTTGTGTAATTTAATATATTTAGTAAGTTTTATATGAAATAAGTAATATTGTATGTATTTGAACCAGTATAGTATATCTTTGTGTATATCTCTTATTTGCATTAATAACTAGGTTTTAAATACAAATGTAATAATGTGTAATAATATATAGTGTTGACTATTGCGCTTAGAATTACTTTAATTTAGCGATCGACTTTCTTCGTTTATCTCTTCATATATATCTGGCGCGAACTTTCATATTTACACTATGTTCTATCTTACTGCTAAATATTCTTGTTTGAATCTGTGCATAATCAAATTTTGTTTTGGCTTATATGAATTAGTGAATATTTGGAATGACTTACCTACGAAATAATACAATTGTACTTTTAGTAATTGTAACATCTGATTTCTTATAAACGTTATGACATTTTTTTTTTTTTTGTCATTCAAAAGCAGCAGCATAAGTGTACAGCACGTGCTTAGTTGTATCTGAAGTAATCTTTTGTTCAACGTCATGAATGCATGTCTCTCAATATTATGCTATCTGTTCTTGTGTAGATTAACATATAATTGTACTCATAGTTTTTCTCCTGGCACATTTATGGCCAAGTATGGAATCATAATGTTTGTTCTATATTGCGTATATCTGGTATGATCTTCTTTAACTCATTGTTACAATTATATGACAACTGTTAATTGTACTGGAATCAACAAACGTCTTGTGCATCGAAAAATCTGCCTTCTTACCGACTGGCTGAATTTCTTGTTTTTGCGTAAAAACTCTAATTTTAATTGCAGAATTTTTTTTATTTGTTTTAAGTGTATTTGTTGTTTTATGTTTTTCTGTATTTCACATGTTTGAGTTCTGTATTTTGCATGAGATGTTTTGAGTTTATGTATTTTTTTCTTTGCCGCGATGTGAGAACTCACTTAATTGAATGAGAAACATATCTCTGATGAAATTCGAGGAAATAAGTTTAAATGAAATGCAGCAATGTTAATTGAATTAATGACTAATTAATGTTGCTTGCTTTGAACCGTGCCGGAAAATGATTCAGTTGATCATGTAACATATTAAATTTGTTTATTCGCTACACTTAATTCTACAGGAGTTCGTATTTTTGACATAGTAAGTCTAAAATAAATATTATTTTCTGAAATTATATAGATTTTTAAAAAACAGTTGTGAAATTTTATCTATTTAAATTTTAGAATAATTTACTAGTAGACGCTTTTAATTAAATTAGTGATAATTAACAAACATTATTGGAATTTTTTTTTTATTTATCTTTTATAGCACAAAGGCAAGATACAGTTGTAGAAGATATTGTTATTTCAGATGGTAAGTAAATTACATTGCTTTTTAGATAATTTACCATTCTTTTGCTGTTGACAACGTCTGAAATCATTCAGGACTCCCAACTAGAAGTGCATATGTTGGCTTGAAATTTGGTATGCTATATTCGTTAGATGTTTCAGGTTTAGAGTCTTAACGTTAATATCGTTCGACTGTAGAATAGTAATTTAAACTGTGCTGACTGAAAAATTAAATTCTTAATTCTGTTGCTGCTGATGGCTTCCGAAATCGTTCAGCGTACTAACCAAAAGTGCACATCTGGCTTGAAATTCGGCATGTTGCATTGGGCAAATGTTTCAGCTGCAGTATCATACCCCTTTATATTCTGTAAAGTTATATTGCTCGTATTTTGTGTCTTGTTAGAAATTTTGGATGTAAGCACCACATTTTTCTAACAGTATATTATTAAATAATGCTTGATAAGTATGTAAAAGATATTTTATTTCTTTTGTAGTGAGGTCGGAGAAAAGTGCAAATTATCCTACTCCACAAACTGATCAAAATCTCGTATCCAGACCCGTCTCCACATCTGAAACGAGTAAAAGAAAATCTCTCGAAGAAGATGAAGAAGATATACAAATTATTAAGCTTATTAAAGTACAGAGAGAGTTAGTTCAACAGATGAAGGAGAAAAATCATTTACAAAGAATGAAAATGATGCTGAAATGTATGAAACAGAATGTGTCTTTCACTGACCTGTATGATAAATGTAAAAAATAGACTTTTTTTATGTAAGGATCTCGATTAAGATTTTATGCATCTCTTTAACTTTCGGCTCAGACATCCTAGAGCTAAAATAATAATAACACATAAGAAATTTTTTAGCTAAAATGAGCTTATATTTAAAGCTTATAAAATTATAATGAACTGAAAAGAGAAAATTTGGGGGAAAAAAATATTCCCAATTAAAGAGTTTTCGGCTAATCTTTGGAATATGGTAACAGGTAGTTTGGCGACATTTTGGTAAGGCTATAAAGGTTACTAGGTAGGGCTTTAGCAATAATCTGAGAAGTACACAGTTCGAATCACAGATTATTTTGTCTCCGAGAAATGAGAGATAATGAGACATGTCATGTGACATTTTCCGGAAAATTCCGGTCGTGATTTTAGCTAATAAGCACTTAGAAACAATTTCGCTGCTAAAGTGCAGAATCGCTCACTTATTTGTTTGGCGCTTTTTACAAGAGTAAGAAGAGTTGGATTTTTGTCAATTTTCTTTGACTTTTTAAGTGAAAATAGGTCGATGTGTACATGGATAAAGTCAAGAGTGTGCGCAATGCCATTTTTGTGCAATTCTGGGATGTTTTTTTAAGTGAAAATAGGTCGACGTGTACATGGATACTGCGTATGTGCAATTCTTAAAAACGCGCGAAGCAGTGGGCGATTCTGCACTTTCTCCCAATTTCGCACCTAATCTTCGTCATGATTAAGCACTTTTGTTTCATAAAAGTTCTAGCATAAGCGTAATTCGGCTAGCAGATTGTTGGAAAAAATGTTGAGTTAAAAAAAAAAATTGCCTTTACTTCGTGAAAACAAAATGGCGTCCCCCCCCCCAAAAAAAACTAGCAGGTTGCTGTAACAGGGTTGGTCGCCAAATTTTCGCCAAAAAATCGCCAAGTTACCATAATCCGAAGATTCACCGAGTTTTCTAATTTCAATTCCTTGCCTTCTTAAGTGGGTTCTGTTGTACATGGAATGCAAAGGAATGAAATAAAAAGCAAGGTCGTGATTTTACAAATTTTTCCTTTAATTTGCAGTAAATAATAAATGTTGCACAAATAGATGCGAGCGATGCAAATTATGGAATAGCAACTTTGTGGTGTTGTTTGAGGACGTTAAACAGGATCTACAGCAGCAAACTTGTACGTTTTGCGGAATGGACCAAGACATGTAAAAAATTTTAATTACGGAATTTTAGAGCACCTTCTTTTCAATCTGGAAAAATGTGCCGGAAATCTGGAAATTGCTATACATTCATCCATAAATGATAAAAATATGAGGTTCAAGAAAGATTGTAATGAGGTACTAAGAACGTACTGTAATAAGGAATAAGAAGGACTCGTTAACTATAGATGTAACCAAAGTGCGATAATTCTAAGCTTTGTTAGCTTCTTAAATATTTCGGTTTAATCATGGTATACGTTACACTTGATTTGGCGACATTATGATGAGCAGTAAACGCGACATTTATGATAAGGGCTAAATCGCAGAATAGGCTGCATCAGTCGATGTTGTGTTTACTTCTCTTATGCTTGGACACGCCTTTTTATGACGTAATATTGGTTACGCCTCTTCTTAAAAACAAGTTATAAGTATGCTATAGCTTCGTATTTAAAGAAAACTTAAATTATATTTTAACTGAGTTGAAGTGGTAGGTTTATAATGTTCTGTTCGAGATTTTTTTAATTATAAATCTACTTTTGTGTGTTGTGTGGTAGTGTTAGCATTTAATGCAATGAATTATCTCTCACAAATGTATTATTAAGATATCAAACGATTGAAAACGATCATTACCAAACGATTGAAAATATTGAATGCATGAGTTAAAAATTATAACCGTAACTTCTGAAAATGCAGAAAAGAATTCTTTTGCTTAAAGAATGTTTTGATTATTGATGAGTGTGTCAAAATCGGTGCTTACAGCAGAATGGATGGGTATCTGAATCTGGATTTTTTTTATCAGTTGGAGCGAAGAGGTAAAAAGGCGTTATTGAGTGGTGTATGGAGAAAGGTTTGATTGCAATATCGTATAAAGTGCCCAATTTGTGGAAACAGATATGAAACTAGTAGAGCGAAAAAAACGTATAGACGGTTTTGAGTAGATGTGTCGAGTTACTGGAGGCGAATGTAGGCATCGGATTTCAACGTCTGTTCGAAAGAACTGGTTTGCGAAGAGTAAATTGAGCATGTGTGATGTTTCGCGAGTTACCTATATGTGGTTGGGTAAGTGCGGGAATGATTTTATACGAACGGAATTACGTATTGCTAAAAATACGGTGACAGATTGGAAAAGTTTCTGTAGGGAAGTATGCATGGAGTTATGTTTGAAGGAGAATGTGATGTTGGGTGGGGAAGGCGTGATTGTCGAAATCGACGAAAGCAAGTTTGGCAAGCAAAAGTATTATAGAGAGAAAAGAGTCGAAGGAAGATGGGTTTTTGGTTTGGTTGAGAGAGGGACAGATAAATGCGTCTTTAGAGTTGTTGAAAACAGAGGTGTCGAAACATTGCTAGAAATCACTAAAGAGAATGTTCTACCAGGATCGATTGTTATATCGGATTGTTGGAAAGCGTATGACTGTCTCGAGTTCGAAGGGTATGCGCACCTGAAAGTCAATCATAGCTTGCGTTTGAAAGATCCAGAAATGATGCGCATACCAATAGTATTGAGGGAACTTGGGCGGCAATCAAAAGAAGTTTCCGTGGCTCTAGTAAGGCAAAAAGACAATTTGATTCCTATCTTGCAGAATACATTTGGAGAATTAAACACTAGAAATCCGACGCCAGCCAATTGATGCATATATTTCTCAGTGAAATCACAGCCATATATTCTGCAAAAGGTGAGGACTGAAGGTAAGTTTCATTTATTATTATTGACTTAAGTAAAATATTGGGTGCTTTTTCTAATATGGCAGTTTGGATGTTCGGTAGTTGCTTTATTTCTGGCAAGCTTTATTTTTGTTTTGTATCATTTTTCCTGGACACATTTTTTTGCAACTGGAACCAATGGAGTTGGTTCCGCGCGAGTTTCTGCAATTTCTCTGATTTCTTTAAGTGAAAGCAGATTTCTGAGTATATAAGCAATGAAGAATTTATTCAATGTTTAATTTTATAAGTAAAAATAGATCGATGTGCACATGGGCAAAGCCAAATGTGTGCGCAATGCCGAGGTTGTGCGCGATGCCGAGTTTGTGCAATTCTGAGATTTTTTTAAGTGAAAATAGATCGATGTGCACATGGGCAAAGCCAATGTGGCGCGCAGTGCCGAGATTGTGCGCGATGCCAATTCTGGGATTTTTTAAGTGAAAATAGATCGACATCCGTATGGGCAAAGCCAATGTGGTGCGTGATGCCGAGTTTCTGCAATTCTGGGATTTTTTTAAGAGAAAATAGATCGATGTGCACATGGGCAAAGCCAGTGTGGTGCGCAATACCAAGGTTGTGCAATTCTAGAATTTTTTTAAGTGAAAATAGATCGATGTGCACATGGGCAAAGCCAATGTGGTACGCAATGCCGAGGTTGTGCGCGATGCCGAGTTTGTGCAATTATGGGATGTTTTTTAAGAGAAAATAGATCGATGTGCACATGGGCGAAGCCAATGTAGTGCGCCATGCCGAGTTTGTGCAATTCTGGGATTTTTTTTAAGTGAAAATAGATCGATGTGCACATGGGCAAAGCCAATGTGGTGCGCTATGCCGAGTTTGTGCAATTCTGGGAATTTTTTTAAGTGAAAATAGATCGATATGCACATGGGCAAAGCCAATGTGGTGCGCAATGCCGAGTTTGTGCAATTCTGGGATGTTTTTGTAAGTGAAAGTAGATCGATGTGCACATGGGCAAAGCCAATGTGGCGCGCAATGCCGAGTTTGTGCTTTTCTGGGATTTTTTTTTTAAGTGAAAATAGATCGATATGCACATGGGCAAAGTCAATGTGGTGCGCAATGCCGAGTTTGAGCAATTCTCTGATTTTTCTTCAAGTGAAAATAAGTGGATGAGCACATGGACACCGAGTTTGTGGAATTCTTTGATGTTTTTCGAGCGAATACTGATCGTTGTGTATAAGAGAAAATGAGGTTATGTGTTATGGCGAGCAGTAATGTAACTTTATTTATGTGCAATGTTTAACATATCGTTTGTGTATTTTTAATTTGTATTGTTGTTTTAATTGTGAATTATATTTAAAACATCATTTTTCATTTAAATTGTATTTTTCATTTTTTTGGTTTTGATATGTTTATAACGCTTTCCGACTTACGATATATATCGATAGCCCGACGATCTACTCAACAGTAGGAAAACTGTAAACTTTAATCCTTTAAGTAACGTTTACCTCATATTTTAATACGTAGTGTTTGGTATCGTAATTGCACGTGATAATATGAGTTCATTGATAATACGTGTGTGTGTGCGTATGTGAAGCATTGCTTAGTGTTCCAAGTTTGTAGTATTTATTTTATTATATTATTTTCTTTCATTCTGAGAAATTAGATTTTTTTATTTATTTATGCCTAGAATTCTAGCATGCCTACACAGAATATGACGTGATTTAGGAATTTTTAGAAACTGATATGAAAGCTGTGTAACGATTGTTCATATGCAATAAAAAATATTCTTCTTTTTTTTATTAATGTAAAGTTTAAAAATTTTTAGAAATAATGAAAATTGTCTAATTATTGGTATGTAAGGAATTATGTCGTTACGTAGCAAGAAGGTAATTTGTAAAAATGATAAAACTGAAATGTTCCACAATATGAATTTAAATTTTAAAAAATCTTTTTTTATTTGTATAAATGCTTTAATAAAAATCTTTGAAAATATTGAATCTCTACAAGTATTAGAGACTGCGACGTTGTTTATCGTTTTAATAATTGGTAGAATTCGCTCACTGTATCATGGCAATTTCAAATATAAACAATTTATTATACTTATATCAGTAAAGCCTAAGCTTAAATGTTATAAATGTAAATTAAAAGTAAAGAATTTGATATTAATTTACAATAATAAACAATTTATTATTGTTATTTTTAAGAGAAAATAGAAAGTACGCGTAGTGTAAATGCGAGACTGGAGACTACATTGTGGCGTCACAAACTTAGTCCCACCCATTTATGGACGTCACACAGCTCCGCCTACTGAACTTTGTT